ACAGAACTTTTAAGAAATAAGAATATTGAAAGAAGGTCAATTTGGAGCCTTACTGCAAAGTAAATGCAAATGCTTTGCTTAGTGGCTGTTTTTCCCCTGTGAGGACTGAATTCATTAGTCATCACAAAGTACAAAGTATTTGCTTTAGGGTTTATTATCATCTACAGCTATACAAATAGCTTTAGTAGATCATTCCTTTTGCTAAAAGCACCCTGGAAATCTCATTAAGAGAGATTAATCCAGATTCAGATTGGTGTTCTTATTTAAATAAGCTTGTGGGAAAACCAACAAAAACAAAAAGGCACAGAGAAGAACAAACAATAAAGGGGTTAAAAATAAAAGTCCTAGAGGAGTAAGTGACTGAAAATCTACATATTTGGTTTCATTGTGCATAAATGAGGTATGAAGTGAGGTATGAAGTATAATGAAGAATGAAAAGAGCAGAGAACTAAATATTAGAAGGCCTGAACTCTTCTAATTTGTTGCATGATCTTGACCTTGCAAGGCCTTTGACTGTCTTTCAGTTTCTTCAAAAAAATAGTTATATTGCCTACTACAGAAGTAGCTATCAGGCAAAATGTGATGATAAATATAAAATTGCTTTGAAAAACAAAAGTATAATGAAATAGAATATACATCTTACCATAATATCATAATATTTAGAATTAATATTAGTTCATGTTGGGGATCTATTATTTATACCTTGAAAAAGCATAAAATGACTTAGTCATTCTTAAAAATATGAGAAAAAAACTTAAATTAAAATTGCTTAACTCAGCACAAAATTTAAGTGGATGCATGAACTCTTGATAACAAAAATTCCATTAGGCAACTTGCAAAGAACCATGTGAGTACAATAGATAGTCATCAATAAAATGTTTAGGTATGGTCCTGTTTGAAGGGAAGGGATAAGTCTAGTTGATTTCTTACAGGCCATTGATAAACAAAAGACATTTAAATTTTCTATAGAGAAATTATAAAATAAACAAGCAGGTGAATTATAAATAGGGCAGTAATATGATTTGTTATGCAAATTAGGATACTTTTAAAAGCAAAAGGGGGGCATTATGAATAATTATACAGGACAACAGGTATTAACTAAGACTATTCCTAGTAAACCAGGAATAATTACTTAGTTATGAACATCCTCCTCCCCTCCACCCAAGGTGAGTGATGTCAGAAGAAAATCAGTACCAGTAAGATTCTGAAATGTAACCAGCCTTTCTGTCCTAGGTCATTCTTTCACTCTGTTGTACTGAGTAGATGTGAGAGTGGAGGACTGTGGAAATCCCAGGAAGATGTCATGCAATGAGCTGAAGGGAGCAACGATAGGCGGGAGGATGTAAGCAATGTCCTGCCAGGTTTCTCTGAACTGAAGTATTGAACACGTGCCTGAACTGTTGTTGCTGAGAGGCTACCATACCAGACACACCAGTCTGGAATGTCAAGTATAGAGACTTGACTGTGAATAAAAGCTTCAGGCCAATGTCAAGTCTACCAAATAGAGTTGCAAGTGGCTCCCATTTCTGCGAGTAAAGGCTATGGACATAAATCAAAGAGCAATCTTCCAGTGCCAGCAGTGTGGGAAGGACTGGCCACTTGTCATGCTTCAATGTCCTTAGCCACAGTTTTAACACGGAGAGTAATTACAGTTAGTGGTGTCGCCTGAGAGTGATGATGGCAAGGGTAGAACTTGTCAATGAGGTGAATGAGGAGGACTGCACACACCATCTCTGGAGACATAATGTCTCTCTTGCATTTGTACTTGCTCCCAAGATCACAAGAATCACCTTGAAAATATTTTCCCTTTGAGGTATTTCTTCTCCTGATTTATATAAAATGTCTTATTTCCAGCATATCTCCAGCACCTGTTTATGTAAAGTATTATATTCTTGTCAGGGTAAGCAGCTTAAAGAGATTTTATTAAGCAGCTTCTTAAATCAATATTTATAATGTATTATTAGGATGGTTCTAAATTCTAAAAAAAATATAGCTTAACTGTCCTCTCCAGAGGGCCAGAGGAACTATCTGCTCTGGAAAAGATTCTGTAATGCTTAAGACAGGGAGTCAAAAGCAGATCTGGCAAAGCCTTGCCATCAGCTGTTTTCTGAGTTTGTAAGTGTGTGAGGTCCTGGGCCAGGAATGTCACACCATGGCAGGTATGGTCTTCTGTGACTGCTTCATAGTTGAAGTGTCATTGGCTCTTTCGATGGGTCTGCCATAAACTTTATGGTCTTGGTCCTTCCAAGAAAAATTTCCTTTTGCTGTTTTCTTACAGAGCTAGTTGTAAAAAGATTAAAATGGGGCTGGGATGTAGCTCAGTAGTAGAGTACTTGCCTGGCATTCTCAAGGACCTGGGTTCAATCCCTAGCACCACAAAATAAATAAATAAAATAGAAGTTTTTATGTGAAAATAAGAAGAATAAAATATTTACTTTCTTATATTTTGATAGCTATCTTCTTTTAAAACACATAATTGCCACTAAAGGAAATAGTGTCAAGTGTTGTCATTGATTTCATGTTTGACAGAAAGTGTGAAAAGAATGGTCTTGACACTTTTTCTTCATTGACTCTTAGTCCATCTGCATTATGTGTTATTCATTTATTGTATTAAGTTCTGTGTTATCTATTCACAAAATAATCCTTGAACTTGCATTATTCACTGCAGCTTCTGATGTAATGAATACATTTAAGAACAGTCATATGGGATCATATTAATATTCTAAACTAAATAACAGTAGACATAGAAGCCAGTACCTTATTATTGCCATGGTATTCATTTAGCCTTGGGTAAAGTATAAATTCCACAATTAGTTCATAATTTTTTTTACAGCATAATAGCTTTTTCTCTGTAAATACATAAAAGGAATTTTAAAAATTATATTCTAACTCCTGGTGGAACTATTTCTTTTTTATGGAAAAGAAGCAATTTCTGTGGCCAAATTAATCTTATGACATTTTCCCTCTCATTCTGATAAGAGTTGGTGAGTACTCTACTGTCCAATTTATAAAACATTTTATTTCCAGGAACAAGACTGTTCAGTCCCTTTTGCTGATTAAAAATTCAAACATATGTAGTTTTATACTTTTCAGAATGGTAGGAGTGGTATTTCAAGCAAGTAGACTCTTGACCTCAATGGTACTGGAAATACCTCTTTAAAAGTGCTTATTGGCAGTGCTGTGCCCTTCTGCTTAGGGGCATATTCCCTGGGTTTCATTTTTTTCTATTTGTGTGCTCCCATGTGCATATATTTAATGATTGTTTGACAGTTTGAAATTTTAATTTTGGATTTAATGTCTCAAGCTTTCATTTTTAAAAAATTTTAATTTCTTACATTATACTATTTTACTCTAACAGTAGAAGACCAATCTTGGTCGATCACAGTGTATCACACTAAAATGATGCAATATTCAGACTTTCTCAAAGGATAGAGCTAGCTAACTAAGCATGATTATAGCATCCTAAGAGATCACTACAAGACTGGGCTTTTTGGAGTGCAGAATCCAGGGTTGTCTCTTTGGTAGTTGTAGATAGCAGTCACCTGTTCAATGACAGAATGTGAACTTTTATAGGCTTATCTAATTCAGCAGTCAGATTGCTCTCTGGACACTTCAGATAAATCTTTACCCAGTCTTTAGAAATGTTCAACACACAGGTTAATTTCTCTCTATTGATTTTCTCCACTATGCATCTTGAATGCCTCAAGATCTCTTGACCTATACAAAATATCTCTGTGACAGTTGGTTTAAAAAGAATAGCTCTTCAAAAGAATGCTTGGAAAAATCAGTAGAAATAATGAAATAAGTCTTCCTCCACTATTAGCAGGGCAGTTTTGACCTTTCGATTAGGTATCAAGGGTAGAACAAAATCATGAACATTTACAAGAAGAGGTCTTATATATTAAGGTTTCTGAACAATTCTCTGGGTGTCCTCAGAGAAGTATATTATTTTTAATTTGGTGGCTGAAAATTTCAAGTTAAATTGAAGTAAATAATCAGAACCACCATGGGCAACCAAGTGAGACAACACAGAACAGGAGACAAAACAGGACTAGGACCAACCAGCTCTGCCAAGAGTTGAGTCTCTCTGGGCTTTTGCTATTTGCCTTACAAAAAAAGGATTGCATCTTCTCAGTCCTAAAATTCAGTGGTCTATATCCAAGAGGATATATAAATTTTTATTAACAAGGAAGCCAAGTTAAAAGAAAAACAATAAAAGCAAAGTGGAAGCATTTTTGTACCTGGAAAAAGTTGAGAAATGTGTGATGACATGATGATTTTCCCTTTAGAGATCATCTTGATACGTATACATTCTTCCCGTAACCCATCGCTATTGAAAAATCTTTTAAGGATAAGATATCTCATTTAACTTAATTTTTGAATTGTTCCTTTCTTTACCCCTGAAATAGTGTTCCATTAACAGAAAATAATGTCAGAATCATTTTATTAATGGTAGTTCCTTTCATGGGCTTCCAAATAAAACAACATCATTGATATTGACAATATAAAAACAAACAAACAAAAATCCCTAAACAGATAATTAAATAAAACCAGTTCTAAGTTCCTGGCACTGATTAAATAGAATTGAAGTGAACCAAGCCATTTTCACATATCACTTGGAGTGTAGGTTTATTTGGGTTTGAGAATCTCCTAAACAAATTACATCAACCTCACTCCACTACCTTCCTTAATAAAAATCATGGCTGGACAAACATCAGACTTGTAAAATTCTAAAAATAATAGAAAAGTAAAAATAGATTTCCTAAGGAAATCTCTCTCCTAAATCTTTTTATGGTATGTTGCTGCTTCTGTGAAATCTTTCTTTGGAGTAACTGGGTAGCATAGTTTCCTTTGTTTTTGTTAACTAGATTCATACAAGGGCAGTGAATTAGAACTTAAGTTGATATAGAGCATGAGCTTTTATGAACAAGAAGTAACTTCTGCTCTAAAAGGAAAATGACAATGTAAATGAAAGAATGAGAACTGGAAGTCCATTTGTTATGTGATTTAAGTATTAGATATCGCACTCTTGTTTCAAAAGAAAACAGAATAGTATGAGCACTCTAAAATCATCTGCAGCACTTTTAAGGGTTAAACCTGCTTAACCCATTCTTAGTCAGAGAATGGCACCAAAGAGTACAGCTCACCCTTAAGTGTGGCTAGTTCTAAACCTGTGGTATCCTCAGGTTGTCAGAGCAGTCATGCACTCTATTTCCTTCCCCCCTCCCACCAGGTTAATAGGATCCATTCATAGCTACTCACTACTGCAGGATTTGACCTGAGAAATGCTAGGATTTATTAACTCAGCAGTTGTTTTGAAAAGTCCCTAAATAATCTTTGCCCTTGGCCAGCAAGGGAACCACTAGTCTTGAGTTCTCAGAAGCAGCTGGTGAGGTTCTCAGCCAAGTTGTTCAGATGCAGGAAGTTCTTCAGGACAACCTACTTTCGACATGGCATTTACAAATCTTTAAACCAGGTTCCTGGATCTAGGAAATGTTATTCCTGACTCCTTTGACCCAGATGCTGGCTAAAATATAGCTCATAATTTGTAGGTAATCACTCTTTCTTCCTTCTCTTTTTCTAGGAGCTGGTATGGTGGTTAATTTTTTCTAAAACAGTCATGTTGATGTGTTCAAAAATCCACTGCTGAGTCTCAGACAGAGGGTCACATCTGGCCATGAAAATCTTCTTCTCTGCGGGGTTGCAATCCATGCAGCTATTGCTCACAGGATGAAATAATATTCTGTCCTGGAGGGATCAGAAAGAAAAGACTGACATAATCAATGGGGAATAAGATTAGAGACCAAAGCATCCAGAAATAAAATATTTGTTTACATTTGAGTATGTATCACAGAATAAACAGACCAGCTCCCAAACCAAACAAAAGTAGATTGATTTGTCAATGTGGAACACTGGATCTATGGACACTATAGAAGACCTTCAAGAAGGTTTAATCAAAGACAAAATATTCACTTACTTATTCATTCATTATTTTGGCAATCCTGAGGTTTGAACTCAGAGCTTTGCACTTGTGAGGCAGATACTCTACCACTAGGGTCATACTTCTAGCATGCAGATAAGGTCTTACTTTTTACCCAGGCCAGGCTGAACTTTCATACTCATACCTTATGCTTCCCACCTACAGGTGGGAATGACAGGTGCACCCAGCTATTGGTTGAGATGGTGTCTCAAGAACTATTTGCCCTGGGGTGGCCTTGAACTGTGATCCTCCCAATCTCAATCTCCCAAATAGGTAGGTAGTGTTATGGGCATGAATGATCAGTGCCTGGCTGATTCTTTCATTTTTAAAAAAGCAATCCATTCTTTTCCTGCTCTTTGGTTAGTGTTTACCACAAGTTTGGATTTTGAAGATAAATACATGGGGGTGCTTGTCAAGCAGCTAATAATCCAGCTACTTGAGGGGAAACATGAAACATTTACACAGAAACTATAATTTAGTACATAATGAGCATTAACCACACAGACACAGACAGACACACAAACACACACACAACTAGAAGAGTCAAATTTTCCCTACCCTTCCATTGAATCTCTAATGGAAAAGACAAATACAAAAGAAATAAGAACCAAAGTGCTCAGCTGTCCTCTTCAGAAGACAAGTATGGGGACTGGGACAAGGCATACACAGACAATAGCTGAAAAGTTCAAAGTTCAAATTTGTTAGTTCCAAAGCTTTAGTCTTCTCAACCACCCCTTTACTGATGTTACAGGTGTTGCAGCAATGTGGTTCTTGTGGTGGTTTTCTTTTAAAAAAAAGAAGGCAACATTCACTTAAAAAACAAAAATCACAGGAGACAGTTAACAGCTGTTTGAGCAAGGGCACAAAGTTTAAATCTTGAGCAAGCTCATTATCTGAACAGGATGTAGTAACACACACCCCTTTTTATTGTGCATGTAGGAAAAGAAGACAAGGCTAGAAGAAAAGTGCTTTCCTTAACTAGTATCAAAATTTTTTCTGTTACAGTGTGTTATTTTTAATAAAGTGCCAGAAATATGAGAAAATGTCCCTAAATCACTGTTTTAAGATCAAGTAATGTTTTATTACTTAGTTTAGGAAGTGTTTAGAAGTACTGGTTATTTTTCTTTAAGTGAGGAACACAAAACTTAACAATGCTTTTAGATTTAAGAGTTTCTCAGCCTCCCTTTGTAAACATTTCTGGGTTGTTCTTGGATTTTAAGACTCCATCAAACCAATATTTAATGTCCTTTTAGGATCCGGATGTTTGTATAGTTCAGCACTGCATGAAGGAAAGGAGAAAGGCAACATGCCAGCAATTTAGTCTGCATATTTCTATTTTGAGTGCAAACAAAGAGCTATGCTTAATACAAAGGTTCACTGTTCTCGTCTGATCTCTGGCTCCTTCTTTCTTTCTTTTTCTCTCTTTCTCTTTCTCCTTCTCTCCCTCCCTCTCTTTTTTTTCTCCTGTGTCTTTGAGACCAGATCTAGCTAAGTAGCCAGGCTGGCCTAGAATTTGTAATCCTTCTGCTACAGACTACCATGTAATGGGATTACAGGTGAAGGCCACCACATCTTGCCCTTCTGTTCTCTTTAAAGGCACATTTTTTGAGTTTGTTGTGAATTTTGCTTTCCTTACACTAAGAGGGCTCCTGAGGTCTCCTTATCATCTTCTTTATATCCACCCAGGTCTGATCCCAGGCAAAAGCTCTGAGAAACTCTCTTCTACTCTGGTATAGAGATGACAGATTCTAGGAGGAGGGAGTCTATGCTTGCAATCCTCCACACAGTATTCCTTCTTGGGGTCCTGGGTGTTGGAATTACAGATTTCTCTCTCAGCCATGCTGGCTCCTTGAACAGCAGTCCCCTTCTATGTCTGTCCCTTCTTAGAGCATCTCTCACAATTCCCCACCCTCAACTTTCACCAGTTTAACTATATGGACCTAATATATTAGATCAATTTTCAATCAGCATTCTTTCTTTCTCTCAATCTCTCTCTCTTTTTTGTTTTGTGGTGTTAGGGATTGTACCCAGGGCCTCATGCATGTTAGGCAAGTTCTACCACTGAGACAACACCCCCTACCCCACTTTTTTTTGATAGGACTGTGGTTTGAACTCAGGACTTCACCCTTGCCAAGCAGGCACTCTACTGCTTGAACCACACCTCCACTTCATTTTGCTCTGGTTATTTTGGAGATGGGGTCTTGCAAACTGTTTGCCTGGGCTGGCCTTAAACCTCCATCCTCCTGATTTCAGTTTCCTAAGTAGCTAGGAGTACAGCACAGGTGTGAGCCACCAGTACCTGGCTCCAAAGACTATTTTTAAGTTGTAATATTCATGAAAATTCTGCGTGAGCTGCTAAATTCTAATTCACTTTGTTCTATGTACCTCTTTCCCCTCTTCACTATCTGCATTTCTTCCTATTGTTACCTTCATCAGTAGCTCAGATGGGACCTCCATATGCTCACAGTTTATCCTCAAAACAGGTTTCGATGAAAGATAAAACATGAGAAAAGAAGGAGTAGAAAATGTTTCTTTCTTCTTTTCCGTCACCAGCTGTGTACCTCAGCGTGTTTGCAAAAGCCAAACCAGATTTTCTGAACATTATTTTCTGAGCCATAAGGTGATCATATTTTTCCAAATCCCATGTAGGAACACATGTTCTGACAATCACAGGTATACTCATGGGTACAACCAGGCAGGATATGCAAATTTAGCACTACCCTGAACTATCCAGAATACATTTTCTGTACTTATACTTCATGTTCTCATAAAAGTTGAAAAATTGAATTCCCTATATCTATCTAGGTCTGAGAAGTTTCTCACCAGTAAAATGAAGGGCTGGATTAGCTAAATCTCGAGGGCCTCTCCCAGCTATAAAATTGAATGAATTTCTTGACATGGCTATTAAGAAAATGTAAGGTTTTTTTTTTTTTTTTTTTTGTGGACTAGACTCCTGAGTATTTGGCAAGTTGATGTACCCTAACAATACTCCATAAATGATAATAGAAGAAGTTCTTTCTTTATTTTTAGCTAGATTGTCTTGGTCAGTCATGTACGAAGGCATAATATAGGACTTGCTCTTCACAATGTCATATAATACATTTTGCTTTACCCTCCCATCTTCTGCGGATGCCTACTTTCTTGTTTTTTGTTCATTTTATTTTGCCTAAGAAAATTAGAAATCATTGAATAAGAAATGCATAAATTCAGATTCAGGAATACTAAATTGACTCTCATAATCAATGCCCAGTGCCAGCTAATCAATATACACTGAAAATCATGGGTGGAGCTTTTCAGGTAGCTCATTGGAAGGGATACTGCTTTGAAGTTGATTGTGGACTTGATTGGCATTTGTGTAGCACCTTTTGGCATTCACATGCCTGCATTGAATTTTATTAAGTTCCGTACTAAGGTAGAGTCTGACTTTAAAAGAAAGAGCGAATTGCAGAAAACCTAGCATATTGTGCGTAGGGTCATACAAGAACTAAACACCAAAGATGCAAAGATAATTAAATAGGTGTGTGAGTATATAATGTATAGAAAGAGGATTCTGAGAATGAAAGAACCACACATTGCGGGGAGCTACGGGATGGTGGGTGAAGGGCTTGGGATTTGGGGCCAAAATGGATTTGGATAGATTTCAGTCATACCATTTACTTGTTATGTGACTTTGGACAAGTTTTTTTAAATTCTGTGAACCTCAGCTTACTTATTTGTAAAATGCAGGTAAAATATACTTCACATGTTTGTTGTGAGGATAACATGTAAAAAAGCAATGTTCTGCATATAAATAAGAAACTAAATAATAATGATTCCACTTTCCCCATTCCTTAATTTATTTTTAGCCAGAAAGCATCCCCAGTTCTAAAATATCAGAGTGTACTAACCATCTGGTCTGAGACCAGCTATTTGGTATCAAATTGTATTTTCTGAAATTCTGGAAAAATAGAGTTTGAAAAGAATTATCTTCTGACTCAACCAATTCCACATTGAATAATTGTACTACTCATTTTAAGCAAAAGTATTTATGGAACAAAGGTACTTTAAGGCTATGAAATTAGCTCTTCTGTGTAACTATGGTTAGATCCATGAGTTTAGGTTGATATATGATTATCCTTTGAGGTCTCTGAAGAAAAGACTAATTAGGTAGGTTTTTCTGCGTGTTTTTTTTCTTTTTAATTGAAATACAACATTATTTAGGCCAGTTGAGTTGAACAAGTATTTATAAGGTTCTTTTGTTTTTTGGTCTATATTAAGAAAGAGGCATAGAAAGATAATCTAAGTTCTATCCTCAGATCCCAAACCAATAAGTAAAAAAAAAAAGTTAGATGTAAAAAAGTGTCAATGACAACAAAAATCCAGCAATTTCTTTTTCATCATTGTCTAGATTTCGGGGAATTTTAGAGTTTTTCTTTTAATATTTCTTTTCAGAAAAACAATGCTCTTATTTTAGAGATAAAACAAGATATTTAGTTAAGCTTTGGGATTTTATATTTTTATTTTTAAAATTCCTATGATTTTCAGGCCTAATTTTTGAACTGTATCTCTTTGGTCTTGATTTTGTTTTTGGACAAATAGCAAAGCTAAGCTTTTCATTTAATTGCAATAAAATACTGCCCTAAAGAAGAAAGGAAAAAAAAAGCGTCAATGAGATTGTAGAAGGGGATGAATAGGATAGGATGCCTTAGATTATTTCAGACACAGGGAAGAAGTCATGAAAAGAAAGATGTGAAATAACATATACCTTTCTACATTTAATTTATTCCAC